TTCCCAGGCCACCGGCCGGATGCCCTCCGCCGCCGCCTCCTCAAGGCGACCCTGCGGTCAAGCCTGACCCGCACACTCTGCCAACTCTGCCCCACGCCCCGGCTGTCCCCATGCCAGACACTAGACAAAAGAGCCTGCAAGAAACTTACCCCAACTGCCACGCAAGTCTGACTCAAAGCTTCCTGGGTTTAACTTTTAATTTTAAAAACAACAAAAGCAGAAACCAAAAGGCTCCTAGTTTGGAAGTGGGCGTGAGAGGAAATGCAAGGGGGAGGTGCTTCATTCCCGCGGCGGCGGGCGCCCCCCTTCCCTGGCCCCTGCCGGGGGCTTTGATGTGTCCTAGCGCACCGCCTACATTGGTTTGCGCCGCGGGCTGTGCGCGGGGCCGGATCCGCTGCTGGCGGCCCTTTTGCGTGCTGGCTCCAAGATCCAGAGGCAGGTGGTCTCGGGTAAGGATGCCTACTTCTAACCCCTAAAGAGAAAGTGCCTTTTATATGGACTTCCCTTTGTTACCTGGGAGGAAGAGGCTGGGTTGACATAACAATCCACCTAGCTCGCAATCTTGGAGCTCTTCATTTCATTTAGAGCCATATTGGATCCATTATATCGAGGCCTCCCAAATGAGACCTGTATTTCCTCCACTCTAAGCGCAAACTGATAACGCGCTGATGGAGTATGTTTTCGATATTTAGGTCTCCGTTTTGAAACAATGTGCAGTTTCTCTTCGAAATTAGTCCTGCAGCTTTGCAAAGACAAGAATGAGACTCTGAAGAAAAGAAATTCTGTAATAGATTCCTTTATAGGTGAAAAGATACCCTCCCACTCACATTGTGAAAACTTTTAACTGTTGATTTATCTTATGTACAAAACCAGCAGAAACCGGATACAGTTTCCAATGTATTAGCCGTTTCAGATCTCTCAGCATTATTACCAAAATTACTCCCACCACCACCTCCAGCACATCAGTGAGAAGATGTATGCTCTGCCATTTCAGCCCTAACTTGTCAAGTCTGTCTTATGCCCAACACCAGCCTAGGTTAAGGCCCTGCCCTCTGGGAGTTTACAGATTAATGGAGACTGGGGAAACATGGAAAAATACCTAGAGGGTAAGAAGATAGAACAAGTAGCTTATAAACAGAGCCAATTAAAGTTATACAGAGTCATTTGCATGATTGCTGAGAGGTTTCTGGATTGAGTGGAAGGCAGTATATTAGCGAAGATTCCAGTGAAGGAGAGTCCTCAGTAGCAATTTGAAGGAGAGAAAGTTCATTTTTTTGGCAGTCTTCTGAGAACAACTTTCCAAGCAAAGGAAATAATTTGATGCTGAGAGCACTGGGCATGATAGTTGGCCTGGCTTGGTCAAGCAATATAAGCAGAGGTGAACTCAGTTTAAAAAACAAACCAGCCAACCAAAATGTTGTCAGAATAGCGTTGTACTCCTTAGGATTTCTAGTGAGTCATTTCTCAAAATTAAATGGAAATACCTCTCTTTTGAGGAAGCTTAGGTGGCCTAGTGGTAAGAAACTGCGCATCAATCCCAAATACATGCTGGAGAAGGATGGAAAATCTCCTCCTGTGCAAGTTACTGTCTCTGAAAACTCTCTGGAGGGTCAGCTGTGGTTCAGTTAAGACTCGACAGTACGTAACAACAACAATCTCTCTTCTAAGACACCTTTGGATGGACTCAAACTTCCAACCCTTTGCCTTGCAAGTGAGTATGTCAACCATTTGTACTATCCAGAAACTCCTGAAGAGAAACTGAGTAGCACATAAATAAATATACAATCCCAACTAAGATGCTTTTTGAAAATGAAAGGGACACTGCTAATAATTATGCCAAGATGAAAGGCTTGTGCCCGATCTGTCCTAAGATAGGACACCTGAGAAGGATGAGTTCTCTAGCTGTGAGCCATGAAGGCAATTAGCACAAGGAGGCAATGGGCAATCAGAGGATAGCATCATCAGGCATCATTGGAGAGGAATTAAGACACATTATTGCTCTCAGTTGGTAGTCGTTTGCAGGCATCTGGACTGAGAATGATCTTTTCAAGGAATATTATTGTTGCTGATACATTTAGGTTACATCCAGAGGCTTTTTTACAAAAACTGACATAGCACTGGTATTAGCTGCAGTAATAACAGTGTTGGTGGTAGTTTTTGTTGTTATTATGTGCTGTCAAGTCAAAACTGACTCACAACTGACTCTCCAGCTGGCTTCCATCGCATGGGAGGGGGTTGGAGCAGCTGAGGATTCAAACCACATGTCTTTGGGTTGGTAGCACAACTCTTTACCACTAAACCACCAGAGTTCCTGATTGGTGGTAATTGTAATTAATAGTTGTTGGGAAGTTAGAATTTGCCAAACTCTTTAAACATTTCCTGTGTGAACTCACTCATCCACACAGCCAATGGAGAGGGGAGCAAACATAAAAATAGGGGCTCAGAAATGCTCAAATATCTGTCTACAGCCACATACAGCCAGTAAGTGATTTGACGGTTGGAACTCAAATCCTATTTTAGATGCTCAGAAAGTTATTTTACAATACTTGGGGGGGGACCTTTTATTTTTATTATCATATAAATAGAAATGTTAGTGGTCAGAATGTCCAAATATAAATTTTTTTTTTAGTGCAAAGTGAAAGTTTTCTAATCACATTTGGTTTTTACAGAAATCGCTGTTGTTATGTGGTGTTGTCAGTCACCCTGTCTCACAGTGACCCTATGTACAACGGTTCTGAAGCCTGCCCTGTCCTGAGCCAGTCTCACTGACGCCAGCACACCTACCCCCATTGCCCTAGTTACTGTATCAATCCATCTCATCCAGGATTTTCCTCTCCCGTGCTGTTCTTCCACCCTTCTTAGCATGATGTTCTTTTTCAAGGATCGGTCCCTCCTGGCCCACATGCCCAGAATATATGAAACAGAGCTTCAAAATCCTAGCCTTCAAGGGGAAACTTGGTTTCTCCCTCTCCAAGACAGGCTTATTTGTTTTCTTAGTGGTCCATGGTACGTCCAAGACTCTTCTCCAGCACCACAACTCAAAGTCTTCAATTCTTCTTCTATCCTCCTTAGATGTCTGAGTCATAGCAAGTAATTGCAAAGACCATAGCCTGATCAGGCACTTTTAGACTGATATCATTGCTTCTCAGTACTCAAAAGGTCCCTGACAGCAGGTTTACCTAATGCAGTTCAGCTTTTGATTTTCTGACACTGGTGCTAAGAGTGTTGATTGGGGAGCCGAGCAAGCTGTAACTGATAACAACATCAATGTTTTCTCCATCCATCAGAGACATTAATTACCATTGGTTGCAATTTATTTTTTTACAGTATTTATTGTATACTTTCACCCACCTCTGTTAGTGCACCTATGTCTATTGCTGCATCATTCACAGTAGCAAAGAGATAGAGGCAGCCAACTTCCCATCAACAAATGACTGGATAGAGAAACTGTGGTACATTCACACAATGAAGTATATGTAGCACTGAAAAACAATGAACTCATGAAACACAATGGGGTGAGCCTAGAAGACATTATGCTGAGTGAAATATCTCGGTCACAAAAGACAAATCCTACATAAGACCACTGTTATAAAAACAAGATGGTTATAATGGAGGAGAGAAAGAGGGAGAGAGTGTAGGAAAATGATGGATAGAAAATTTCTGTACTGGAATAAGTGAAGGGAAGTTCAATCTGAAATAGATAATCAAATATTATGTGTATTAAAATTAACTTAGAACAGGATATACAGGACAGATTAAATGAGATGGAGAAGTGGGGGAACAGAGATGGTACAATAATTTTTAAAAGTCCTACATCTGTGCAAGAAGAGAAGAAAAGGAAGCAAAGAAAAGGTCCATGATTAAAAGGTTGCAAGTTTGAGTCCACTCTGAGGCATCTCTGAAAAAAAACCTGTTAAGCTACTTTGGAAAACCATTCATTGATAGGGGTTGACTTGTTCTCAAAGGAGCATAATTCCCCTATGACACACCTGGGAATCCCCAGGAGTCAGCTTGTGGGTTCAAACTGCTACTATTAACTTTTCATTACCCACTGTTACAGAGACCTGCCTTCAATGTCATTCAAAAGCACCTAGTTCAATAACAAATAGTAAGAAATGTTACCCAAATCAAACAATAAAAACACTCAACTGCTGTCAAATCATTTGCAACTCATAGAGACCACATAGGGTTTCTAAGGTCATAAATCTTAATGGCAGCAGATTGCCTCCTCTCCCATCAAAGGACTGGTGGGTTCAAATCACTGACACTCAGCAGCTGAGTGTGTTAACCACTGTGCCAAATAGGGTTACTTCAGAGAGATTTGTTATTGTTGTTGATGATGATTGTCAGTGAGCTGAGCACGACTCATAGTGTCCATATGAACAAAAGACCTGAAGCCTTTTTATAACTATCATCTTTTCTCAAAGTTCATAGAGTTTCCAGAGGCATGTTGTTTAAAAGGCAGTGGATGCCACTCCTGCTTCCTAGTGGGCATTATTTGGTGCAAATTTCCCTACAGAGGTAAAAGAAAACTAGAAGCCATTTATACTTGCAGTTCCTAAAAGAATTCCGCCTGAACCACAGCCACGTGTAGCATACTGAGGAATCTCCAAGTCAAACCATGTTTAACTAATCAAATCATATTCATGACTCAAAGATGTGGAAACAAACACGTGCAACAACCCACGATGCCGAAAGTATTTTTTCCCCCATGAAATTGCAGCTCGAGTCATTATCAACCTAGGAAGGAGCTTCTCAGTCACTGCTTGAAAGATGAAATAAGTAAGTCAGGGATCGGAGTCAGACATGCCTGGATTCAAGACAGCATTGACTGAGACTGGAAACAGTAAAACTCTAGCTCTGACTAAAACTTCCTCTTGTCCAGGTCACATCATTGCTTTTCCAGGTGTTATAAAGTCAATTCCAGCTCATGGTAATTGCAGGGTAGAGTCACCTTCAACAGTTTCTTAATGACTAATTTTTCTGAAATAGATAACCAGGTCTTTCTTCCAGGGCACTTCTGAGCAGGCTGGAACCTTCAACTGCTCATGTATCAACCAATGGCATTGCCTCTATTGCCACCCAAGAACTTCATGTACAGATAGTAAGGGAAGGATTTCAACATATATTTTTTGGAGACTCAACTCACAATAAGATTATCAGAGTAATGATGGAATTTCAGCATCAGCAGAGTACGTACAAGGAGTATGTACCAGGATACAGGACAGAATTCAACATAATTTCTAGTTTCTCCCTTCTAAATCAATGGTTATAAATAAACTTTTGGTTTTGTAGGTAAATTGTAATTGTCTATCCCATAACTGAACCCTCCAGCAACTTTAAAAATGCCTCCTTTTTCACACCCATGTTAATTGCAGCTTTGTTCACAATAGCAAGGAGTTGGAAACAACCTAAGTGCCCATCAACAAACGAATGGATAGAGAAACTGCGGTATATTCACACAATGGAATACT